TATTTTCAGTTATAATTATAAATATTGCTTTTCAACTAAGAATTTAAGAGAACTTAATCCAGATAATAATTGTTTTTTTTTCTACATTTTAAAATATAGTTGAAATATTTTCAAAAGTAGTTAATCTAGATAATAATTGTTTTTTCTACATTTAATGTATAGTTGAAATATTTTCAAAAGTAATTATATTATTCTATAAAGTCGTGTAAAAGTAAAATAGATATAAACTCAATATAATTGGTGGTCTAAAATCAAGTCTTAATAAGAGGTTTAAGTTTATTCAATAGAAATTTATTTATTTTTATTTGAAGTTTGTTGGTTTAGCTTTTTAAGATACAAAAATATTGTTGATCTATATAATTAATTTTTTTTAATATTTAAGTTTTTTTGACAATACAATTAATTCATTTGATATTTTTGTTTGAATATTACTATTCATGGTCAAGATATTGAGTTAAACGAAAACTGATGGAGAATATTGATTATCCATTGATGCTGATCTGAAGCTTTGAGAAGAAATGAAGAATACTCTGATTTGGGGAAATGAAAACTGAACTTCATTTCATGAAGATGTAGTGTATTTATACAGACTCAACAATAAGAAAGTTCTAGAATCTAACTAACTAACAACAAAATAACTAATTCATCAACAAGAATAAAATGAATAACAAACTTAACCGACTTAGTTCATCACACTTATTACACTAATTTCCCTTGAATAAACTTTATCTTAACACCCCCCCTCAAGTTGGAAGTGAGTAATTCACAGCCAGCTTGTGTAGAATATTGGAGTGTTTAGCACTCGGCAGTGCCTTAGTCAGTACATCAGCTAGCTGATCATTTGTTGAGATGTGATGGAGTGTGATGAGTCCATCTTGTATTTTTTCTCAAACAAAATGACAGTCCACCTCTATATGCTTTGTTCTCTCATGAAACACAGGGTTCTTTGATATGTGAATAGCTGCCTGGCTGTCACAAAACACAGATATGGGCAGTTTACATGGTAAATTCAGCTCAATCAATAATCTTTCTAGCCACACCAATTCTCCAACAACCTTCCTAACAGCTCTATACTCTGCCTCTGCTGAGGATAAAGATATGGTCGTTTGCTTCTTAGACTTCCAGCTCACAGGACTGTCCCCCATGAGCACAACATAACCACTCACTGACTTTCTTGTATCAGGGCAGGCTGCCCAGTCTGAGTCACAATATGCAGTGATTGAGCAGTCTGCATTATTGGACAAGTGTATCCCTAAACAAGGGTCATTCTTGAGGTATCTCAGAACATGATAAGCAGCCTTGAGATGTGGTTCTCTAGGATTTTGGAGGAATTGACTGAGATGCTGGACACTGAAAGCTATGTCCATCCTTGTGTTGGTCAAAAAATTCAGCTTACCTACTAATTTCCTGTAGTATGTGGGATCTATAAGCAATACACCTTCACTTGCCTTAAGTTTAACTGTGGACTCAAGAGGTGATGACACAGGTATGCAATTTGAACAATCAAACTCATGCAGTAGGTCAATAGTAAACTTTCTTTGAGAGATTATAACCCCTGAATCTTTGTACAAAATTTCCAAACCTAGGAAGTATTGCAGTCTCCCCAAATCCTTAATCTTGAACTCATTGTGGAGAGAATTTTTCAAAGAAGTAATCTCTATAATATCAGTACCAGTCATAATGACATCATCCACATAGACAGCAACAAAGACTAAAGAACTTCCAATTTTTCTATAGAACAAGGAGTAATCATTGGCAGAATGAGAGTAGCCTCTTGAGTATAAAAATTGTGCTAACTTGTCATACCATTGTCTACTTGCTTGCTTCAACCCATACAAGGACTTCTTGAGCTTACAAACCATTCTTGTATCAGTCACCATGAGTCCAGGAGGTATGTCCATATAAACTTCCTCATGGAGATCTCCATGAAGGAAGGCATTATTCACATCTAGTTGGTACATTTCCCAACCTTTCTTGACAGCCAGACTGATTAAAATCCTGATTGTAGTCATTTTAACTACTGGTGAAAAAGTCTCATTGTAATCAATGCCAGCTTGTTGAGTGTATCCCTTCACAACTAGTCTAGCTTTCAATCTCTCTATTGTGCCATCAGCCTTGTGTTTAACTTTGTAAACCCACCTGCATCCAATTGCCTTCTTTCCCATGGGTAGTGTAACAAGATCCTATGTCTCATTAGCATACAGTGCCTCAAATTCTGATGTCATAGCTGTGTGCCAAGCAGGGTCAAGTGTTGCCTCTTCATATGAGCATGGTTCAGTGTCATGAGAAGGACCTTTAACACTGTGTCGACTATCTTGGTTAAGACTTGTAAGAGAATAATAATGAGTGGTAGGTGCAAAGTTAGAGGATGGGGTTGAAGAAGGTTGAGTATGCAAAGAAGGTAAGGAATAACTGTATTCTTTCAAGTAAGTGGGGATGATATGGGGCCTACTGGACCTTCTAAGGTTCAGTGTTTGGGTTTGATGTTGTTCAGTGGTGTCAGGTAAGGCATGTCCAGTTGAGCAGGGTTGTCTATTTGTTGTAGGTGAAGGAAAGTCTAATGATTGTTCAAAAGTTGATGGTGGAGATGTTTGTGAAGGTATAGATGCAGGCAAGTCAGTATTAGTGACATTAAAATTAGTGTCATCATCATCCAAAACAACAGTCTTGTTAAAAATATTATAAGTAGAGTTTGACATATTTGAATTGGTATTCAAAGTTCTTAATATTGTGGAAAAACTAGGATCAGTTTCAAACTTAGACAAGGCAAAAGGAAAAACATTCTCATGAAAAATTACATCCCTAGAAACATGTATCCTTTTGGTACTTAGATCTAGGACTTTATAGCCTTTTGTATTGAAAGGATATCCAATGAAAATGTGAGGTGTGGATCGTGGATCAAATTTGTCCTTATGAGTCTTTATGGTACGGAAACATAAACACCCAAAGGACCTAAGGTGAGAATAGGTGGGAGGTTGGTGGTACAATATTTCAAAGGGTGTTTTGTTGTGGAGAATTGTATTAGGAAGTCTATTGATTAAGTAAGTAGCTGTTAAAATGCATTCACCCCAATATATGATGGGAAGTTTGGATTGGTACAGAAGTGCTCTAGCAACCTCCAGAAGGTGTTTGTGTTTCCTTTCCACTACACCATTTTGTTGTGGTGTGTAGGGACAAGTCTTTTGGTGTATTATTCCTTTTGCTTGGAAATACATGAAGGTTTCATTATTGGTGAATTCTGTACCATTGTCAGTTCTTATTGACTTGACAGTGGTTTTGAACTGATTTTCAACAAGTGATATGAAGGATTTTATGGTTTGAAGGGTGTTGGTTTTGCAACTGAGGAGGTGAGTCCATGTTAATCTACTAAAGTCATCAACTATGGTTAAAAAATACTTGTAATTGTTGTGGGTTGAGGCATGGTATGGTCCCTATAAATCCATGTGAAGGAGATCAAAGGTATTGGTGCTAGAGACAGTGGTCTTGGTTGGAAAAGGAAGTCTGGTTTGTCTGGCCATAGGGCACACAGTACACATAAAGGGTTGTTTTGGTGAGAAGGTTATGGGAATGGTAGGAATACCTTTCATTTTTACAAAAGGAACATGTCCTAGTCTATTATGCCACAAGTGATCAACATTGTTTCCATTAGACAAGCATGTTACAGTATCAGAAACACAGGCAGGAAACACATTATCATTGCCTAAACAAGTGGATCTTACATCTGTAGTATTGCAAGTGGTTATACCAGAAGTGTTATGCAAGGCATTACGGGAAATACTATTGGAACAAACAGTAGTAAAATCAGAAAAACAAGGTAAAGAACTGGAAATAGGTGCAGCAGAAGAAGTAGAAACTGATGCAGAAATGGGAGTAGAACATGCAATGTGACACCTTGAGCACAGATAGTATAGTCCATTTTGTGCTCTACCAATCTCCAGAGGGCTCTTCATTGAAGGGCCCTGCATGAAACAAGAAAAATTATTAAAACTGACATTTCCTTTCAGGTGAGAAACCAAACAATGAACTGATATCAAGTTGAATTTAAAACTAGGCACATACAATACTTTATACAAGGTGAGTGAATGATTCAGATGTATATCACCAATTTCTGTCACCTTTACTTTATAGCCATTTGGAAGGGTAATTAGGAAAGGACTGGGTAAAGGTCTGAGGTTTGTGAGTAATGATTTTGTGAAGGTCATATGGTGTGTGGCCCCTGAGTCTATAATCCAAGAGTCAACAGAGAGTTTTAGGCATTTACATGACAAATTTCCAATGTCATTAATTGAAGAGTAGCATGCTAAGATACCTGCAAAGTTAACAGCTCCACCATTCAAGTTGTTCCCAAATTCCTTTGCAGTGTTACTTCCTCCTGGAATCTGGATGTGCTCCAGTAGATTTACCAGCTGATGAATTTGTTGTTGAGTTAGACTTTGCTCATGCATTTTCCCTTTTCCTTTGCCTACTTCATGATTCTTGTCACATGTATCTTCCAGAAACTCCTCAGAAAAACCATTTGCAGTAGCTGCTGTTCCTGCATTCTTTCCCTTAGTAAACTTGAAATCAGGAGGAAAGCCATGTAGCTTGTAACACTTTTCTTTGATATGACCAGTCTTCTTACAATGGTCGCAAAAGAGATTAGACCTGTTAGGAGTCCTGTTGTTGCCCCCATTGTTTCTATTAGAAGCATAGTTAGTCCTGAAATTTGTGCTAGTACTGGCAGCATTCACATGAAAGGAAGTGGAGTCCAAATTGAACCTGTTCTGAGGCTTCACCTCTTTTTGTTTCTCCTCCTGGACAAGAATAGAAAAGGTTTGAGCCATAGTGGGTAATGGATTCATCATCAAAATGCTGCCTCTCACAATGGTGTAAACTTCATTCAAACCCATCAGGAATTGAATAAGTCTCCTATCCAACTCAGCTTTATGCATTTTCGATTTACCAGTACATGTGCACAGGCATGTGCATTGTGAATTTGTGTCTAATGTGTTAAGCTCCTCTCATAACTTCTTAATTCTGGTGTAGTACCCAGTAATGTCCAAGTTCCCCTGACTGAGGTCATTGATTTCGCGCTGAAGTTGATACAATTTAGCTCCATTAGTTTGATCATACTTGTCCTCTAATTCGATCCAAAGTTCTCTTGCATTGTCTACATATTGCAGGCTATCTCTGAGATCTTTGGACAGAAAATTCAGAATCCAGGAAGTGACCATATCATCACATCTCTCCCACTGAGGAAATTCGGCTGAATCTGTAGATGGTCTTTGCACTTTTCCATTGATGAAACCTGTTTTGTTCTTTACTGATAGGCCTCGAAGAACAGCTCGTCTCCATGAACGATATCCAGATCCATCGAACAAGACAGGGACGAGAGTAGACCCAGCATTCTCGGAAGGATGAACATAGAATACACTGGTTAGATCCAGAGAAACAGGGACTGGAGGTTGATTGCCATTTGAAGTTCCTTCCTGATGACTGCTCTGTTCCATTCTGTGTGAAGTTGGATTACTGAGAAAAAAAAAACAAAAAAGGACGAAACTAAAAGGATTTGAACTGCGGAGAGTGAAAGAGAACCGTCACGGCTCTGATACCATATTGAGTTAAACGAAAACTGATGGAGAATATTGATTCTCCATTGATGCTGATCTGAAGCTTTGAGAAGAAATGAAGAATACTCTGATTTGGGGAAATGAAAACTGAACTTCATTTCATGAAGATGTAGTGTATTTATACAGATTCAACAATAAGAAAGTTCTAGAATCTAACTAACTAACAACAAAATAACTAATTCATCAACAAGAATAAAATGAATAACAAACTTAACCGACTTAGTTCATCACACTTATTACACTAATTTCCCTTGAATAAACTTTATCTTAACACAAGAATTCATTAATCTTTATTTTGAAATTGTTTTTTCAAATATATTCTGATCTGTCAAAATAACAATAATGGGACATTTTGTGTTTATAAGAATATAAAATAGAATAATTCTAATATCATACATTTCACGATCTAATTAACGAGCTTGCAACGTAGCTATAGAAGCCTTGAAAAAGAAAAATCATAAAAACCTAGTGTTCTACATATAATTTATTCAAGCAATTTAATTGGAAAGAAACTAATATGTAATAACAAATAATTATTTTTAATTTATCATAATTAACTCAAGTAAAGTCATTTATTTTAAGAATAAATAAACGATGATTTAGAATATAGTACTATAATTGATGTATATTTTTAAAATTAAAATCTTAGAAGGCAAATAATACAAAATACGACTGTAATACTACTGTGGGCTCATTTGGTATATAAGCATAGATAAAGATATGTGATGGCTCATTTCATCATTTTAGTACGTCTCATGAGATTTTTATTATTTTTTCCACCAATTAAACAAGAAATAAAATAATTTGACAATTTGTTTTGAGATTGTTATCCCATATTCTTGTATCAAACAAGCTCAAAGGATTATTTTGAGGACAAAGGAAGGGGGGGCACCCATTTAAAAATGAACAAATTCTTTCAAATAAATCCAAGTCAAACTTGTAACTGAATTTAATGACACGTAATATTGGCTTAAAATATTCTCTTAACTAGCAACCTGAATTGTTTTGGAAGCATGCATCTTTCGTACACAACTTCTCTTTCTTTTTTGGACCTTTAGTGAGTTGCAAACAAAGTTTAAAATGATTAAATTTTTGATGGTTTTCGATTTGTGAATGAATAACAAATTTTTATGGATTAATATTTTGAATTCTTTCAACCGTTTGATCAACTTCACTCCATGATGTTTTATCTTTGATTTTCAGTCTTAGAGAAAACCAAGCATCAATTATATAGGAGAGTGCATTAAAAAATTATGATAGTATTTTTAATATAAATTGCTAGCTAGGTATATATATTATGCTATTGTAAGAGAGATTTTTAAAATTGGAAATATACGAAGAGAATATATATTTAATGTATCTTAGACATTAATTTATGTGTTTTCTTTTGTAATTCGAACTTGAATTAATTTCCTTTCAAAAGACTTAAATATTGATTTAGCAACTAGTTATTTAGTTTAATTTAATTATATGTTCAGTAAGTTACTTATTACTAAGCAATCACAACTCGAATCGCACTATTTGTAGTTAATTAATAGTAGGTATCTTGAATTAATTTATAGTTTAGAGCACGTTTAAAATAGTTGTTTTCTAATAGTTGATAAGTCTTGAAAACACTTTTTGATGTTGAAACTAATTTTATAAATAAATAGTTGCTTGTTTGGTTTGAAATATTGAAATTGATAATAAGCATATTTCATAAAAAGTTGTAACCGAGAAAAAATTGTTAAAATTATTAATATGTACTTATAGTTATATTCAAAACTTATATATATATTTTTATAAGGAGAATAACAAATTACAAAAAAATGAGATGGTATTGTGGAGTTTGAACTTATACTTCAAAAAAAAGTAAAGGAAAGAAAATATAGAAGCAAGTATGTGCCACTTAAGTTGTGGGTTTTTTCTTGTTCAATAATTAATACTCCAATGTTTATTTTTCAATTATAATTTTTTTAAAAAGTGATTATTTTGTTATGAAGTTTTTTCCCTATATAGTCGTCCATCCAAATAATAATTGAAATTATATGTGTTTTTATATATTACTATATATACACATATAATATACATATTTTATTGCGGTGACAGATGATTGGGTTGACCTGAATGGGTGAAGATTGGATCGAATTAATAAGCGAATGAGTTGCTGACCAGTCCAAAAGTTAATTGGGCTAACATATGAGCCAAAATCCAATTTGCTCAATTCTTAGTTTCTTATTAAGTTTTAATTGATTTATTTGTTCTTTTATAATTTTTGGTACTACCCTATAAACTTATTACCTTTCTTTATTAAGGCTATGGATAACATATTATATATATATTATGAATTGTTGTGGGCTAGATGATAGATCAAATTTTGATGTACTCAAATAGATTGTGGTGATAAATAAGTGAGTCAATAATCTAGTCAAAATTAAACAAGTTAGGCGAATTATGATCTAATAAACTAATCTTGCCATCTCTAATCTTCTATATACAACTAATACATAATTTTTATATAACCGACTAGAGGTCGTAATTAATTTTGACGATCAATCAAATGTGTAACTTTTCCTTTTTTACCCTTAAATACAAGTGGTACATTGCCAACTAGATCCAAACAAACGCAGATGGAAATTGGGCCCGGAGCAACTTCTGTTGGTCTTGTCTAAAGTCAAATATCAGGCCCGTTCACTACAATGAGCCCACCCCTTCTATTGGACTATTAACTGGGCCTTTTCAAGCTTCAGTGCGCAAACATGGGCTGGCCCACACAGCAATTACGTACCCATATTGAAATCGACTAAATCTAAATTTGCGTATGCAGTATCCCCAACAAGAATTTGCCATTCTCGAGACTTTTAGTTAAGTATGAAGGAATCTCAAACCATTCCACATTTGCATCGTATAATGCGAAACCTTTAGAAAATATTACTCCTTCCGTCCACTATTAATTGTCATGATTTCTTTTTTTAGAGTTAAACTATAACAATTTTGACTAACATTTTACGACGTATTTTTTTATCATCTTGATATACAAAAAATTGCAATTTATAGTGATTTTACATAATTTTTTAATATCTAAATTTTTTGTTTAAAATATCGAATTAATGTAATCACTTTAAAAATTAATCAAATTAACTTTCAAAAAACGTAACATAACAATTAAAAGTGGATGGAGTGAGTATTGTACAATATTCAAATAATAAGCCTGATGATAAAGTCTCATAAAATTATTAAATAGCTTAAATTAAGAATTGGACCAGAAGGGCGGTTTGTGACTATTTTTGAATAATTTCTTCTGAAAATTTTAATGTTTTTCTGCCACTAGATCAATAACACACTTTACTTATGGATTTTCAATTCATAATTCTTATATATTTTTCTGGTTTTCTCACTACAAATATAGACAAACCCCTGTCAAGTTGATATATATTTTTGTTATCAATAATCTCATCCCATTTTAAATTTACCCCATAACCCAATTATAACCAAAACATTATTGGTGATAATCAAATACTTTTAACTTTTTGTGATCACAAATCAAATATTTCTTGACTGGGGTGTAACTAGTTGGTTTTCCAATTATTATTTTTCAATTGCTAGCTTTAATTGGATCTATATCATTAATTCCTTTTTCCTCTTTAGCTTTAAAAAAAATGTAGGTTAAAAGGATCCCACTCAGTCAACGTAGCTCTAATCGGATCTCTATCGGCCTTAATTACCGTTGTTTGAACATGATTTGAAATTACTGAATGTGTAATTTATTTTTTTAAAATTATATTTTATTCGTCATAAACATGAAAACTTACTATTTGTATAAACTATTAAACCTTCACTAACTCTTATATAATTTCACTGAATGAGCAAATTATGATTCATAAATGAGGTATCAAAATATCCTAATGAGCCGTTAATAAATCCTATATCTCCATTTTCTTTGATACATAAATATTTTTATTACATGCTATTGTAAAGATGCACTAGTCCAAAAAATCAGCAATAATAGTAACTAACTATTTTTGTGGAAGGATCCATGTGGTGCATACAATCTAAATTCACTTCGAGCATGATTTTTTCTTTTAAAAAAATAAATTCATGGGTCAAGCTTTTTATATTTTAAAAAATAACTAAAATCACAAATTGAAATTTTAAATCTTTCTTTTTAAAGAATTTGAGATTTGAAATTAAAGTTGAAATTTTATGCAAATTTTATAAATAAACGTTGATAGTCAAAACTTAAAATTGCGGTCCTAATTCCTACAGCCGAGCTTCTATTTATTCAATCTTTAGCTTTTAAAAAAATAATAATAATAAAAAATCTCAGGTTCATTAATGTAAGCAAATTTTTTTTTTGTTTTGTTTTAACCGTCGTTTTTAAAAACATTATCTTCGATTAATTACTATCATTTTAGAATTTAAGATTAAAATTGACAATTATTTTATACTTTTAACATTAAAGAAATATGCACAATATTTAAGAGGAAAAATTAACATACCTTTTTTAAATAAGAAAAACTTAATAAACTATCTCTTATATTTATTATTTTCTTAATAAATATAAAAAAAACTAAAACGACAATTAAAATTATGACTCAAGCACAAGTTTGCTAATGCTCTTGAGCCGTACATGAGTCTGTTCATTTACTGTTCGTCAAGTAGAATTCGAACGTAAGTTTAATAGGTAAATGTTTTATCTGTCTATTCACATGAACACTCCTCCAATCTCGTATTAGTCGTTTGCATTTTCTTTTACATATTTTAAAAAAAAGCACATATAAAAAGGATAATTTTACTAATTTGTCTTTTATTTTTTTTAGAGCTTCACAAACTTTTTTTAGTAATTAATTGTTAGAGAAAAAATTAATTAATTATCTCTTAATTTTATGAATTGACAAATAGTTTGAAATAACTATTTATAATAATGTAAACAACGAATTAATATGAGAAGGAGAAAGTATGACTAAAGTCTTATCAAATTTCGATAGTTTAGGGTGTGTTTAGTATGAAGGAAAACATTTTTCGGAAAATATTTTCCAATTTTCTCATGTTTGGTTGGGTAAAATGTTTTCCAAATCAACTCATTTTCCTCAAAATTAAGGAAAATGACTTCCCTTCAAAAATTAAGGAAAACATTTTCCAAAACTCTCCTCCAACTTCAAATTACAATTTTTTTATTGAAAAAAATCAATATTTTTTGTTGAAAAAAATAAATTTAACGCTTTTTAAAAAAAAAAAAATCAAAAAAGTTTGTTTCTAAAAAATATTTTCAAATTCTTATTTTTCATCCCCTACCCCTCGGCCACCCCCCTACGCACGCCCCCCCCCCACCCCCAAAAAAAAAGTATTTAAAGTTTGTTTTTAAAATATTACAATTTCAAATTTTTATTTATTCACTCCAACTCGCGACCCTGCCCCCCATCAGCCCCCCACCCCATCCAAAAAAAATTAAATTTGTTTTTAAAAGATATTTTCAATTTCAAATTTTTATTTTTCCACCCCCCACCGCCACCCCCCCTATCATCCAGCACCCCTCTCCAAAAGAAAAATTAAGTTTGTTTTTAAAAAATATTTTCAAATTCAAAGTTTTATTTTTTCACCCCACCCCACTCCCTACCCGCGACTCCCTCCCATCAGTACCCCAACCCCCCTCCAAAAAAAATTATGTTTGTTTTTAAAAAATATTTGAGATTTTTATTTTTTCACCCTACCCCACCCCCTACTCCCCGGTCAGCCCCCCACCCCCTCCAAAAAAAATCAAGTTTGTTTTTTTAAAAAAAAATCAATTTCAAATTTTTATTTTTTTACCCTATCTCACCCCTACCCCTCCCCCCTACCCCCAGCCAGCACCCCACCCTCCCCCCAAAAAAATTTAGTTTATTTTTAAAAATATTTTCAGTTTCAATTCAAAAATTAGTTTCTACTCTCCAGTAAAAATAAAAGATATTTTCTCAAAAATATTTTTTATTCATAAATCAAACACACAAAAATCTTTTCCAAAAAATATTTTCTACTCACCAACCAAACATGAGAAAATAAGTAAAATATCTACTTGTTTTCCAAAAAATTATTTTCTAGAAAAACATTTTCCATGAAAAATATTTTCCTTCATACCAAACACACCCTTAATGTTTAATGCACGTACCTTTCAAATACGTACTATATATATTGCAAATTAAAACACGTAAATCATGTGTCTAATATACACCAAAAGATGTATTTAATCATGAAGTAAGATAAATTAAATATTCCATACTTTCCTTGACAAAACCTTAAAACAATGGATTTTGATGTTTCCAAAAACAAGATCAGACAGACAGACAAGACTCTTGGTGAAATGCCATTGGTTGAAATGACAAAAAGGAAAAATGATGAAAAGAAAGCATTCACACTTGATGCTAGACAAATAGAGACATGACCCTCCACCAAGTCATAAAAATAACTCATGAGATTTTGTCTATCTTCTAGCATCATCAACCTAAAATATAAAGGCTTCATAAAGATGAATGATTGTATATATGACTCAATTATCAATAAAGAACGTGGTTCAGTGAATAAAGTTATTTTTCTCTAAATTAGAAGTTTTGGATATGAAAAAATCCTTGATAGGGAGCGTTTACCTTATGTGGTGCGAATACAAATTAGTCGGGCTCCAATATGTGTACTGGACATCGGATGAATTTTTATTTTTTATTTTTAAAAGGAGACTCCATTAATTAAAGCCCCCTTTTTTGATTTTTTAAAAATAATTGAAGCATATTTTATTTTATTTTTAAAAAAAAAATCACTTGCAAAAGGTTACATGCAGCTCAGTGGTGTTTCAGTTGGAATTTGAAGAAATTATTGTAGTATTGTTTGCGCTCCCGTACGTTATTACTCTAACAAATACGAAGCTTCATTCCTCGTCAAGCTAAAATATAGTATGTGTAATTTATGTATATTTATTAGAAAAAATAAGCAGTAAATTTGCTCGACTATTTATATGAAGATTCCTTAATTTTTAACTTTTAGACAAGATAATAATTTTGACTCGCAAATTTCTAGATAAAAATTTCTTGTGAAATTTATACACAAACAACATATATATATATAAACTCATTGCAAACTTCAATTTTAAATTCTCTTCTTTTTTCTAACTCAAATGAATTATTGTCCAAACACCTACCATGCATGTTAAATGATATTGATATTTTTAAGGGTGATGAGCAAAATATTATTTTAAGAAAAGTTTGTTAATTTTTTAAGTGGTGCAATTACTATATTAGGAAAAATGGGATAAGAAGGCACTTGAGGAAAATGACTCTTTAAAAAGAATTATTATTAGTGAAACAAATGAGACCAGAGGTTATGGATAAAGAGCATATGGTTCTGTCCACTATCCATTTCATCTTTATAACACAGCTCTCTACATCACCTCTTGGCCTCACTGATCAGAATAATTCTTGGATGGAATAAGTTTATAAAATTTTAATATTTTTAAAAATATAAAAAAAATTAAATGTATATTTTCAGAAAAGGTGAGGGTGACAGAATCTAAGAAAATACCATCATTAAAGATGGAATAAATTTAAAGATTAGTTTAACATGAGAATCTCTCCAAGTATAGTTCCCACTTGATCAAGATTAGAATTGGACAGGAATGCATCCATTAGAATATATGTGTATTTGTGTGTGTCTTGTACGTATTATGTAAATTGAGAGTAGTGTAGAATTAATTTTGCACGGTCAAGTCAGAATTTTAAATTTTAAAATTTTTAAAGTGATATCAAATAATTAAAAAATTAAAATTTATGAATTCCTATAACGATACTAAGTTGATATAATAACTGATTCAAAATCGAATATATATATATATATATATATATATATATATATACATATTATGAATTTCTATCACAACTCAAGCTCATGACACGTATCTTTGATTCTATTTGTCTCACAAATTAGTCCTTTAGGCTACGCTATCATTGAGCCAAAAGTGTGCATAATTTGCAATATGCCTTATAATATTCTTAATTTTCTTTTTCAATGCAATGTGAGATTCACCTAAGATATCATATGCATCACTTCTTTAGAAGCTTGTCAGTCCTTCTCTGTTATCTGCCCTCATCATACATCACAATTTCTTTTAATACGTATATAGTGTTTGAACAAAAGATATTAAGTACGTGAACCCACATATTATATGGTAAATCTGCACTAACTGTAGTATAATTTGTAATCTTATAATCCTGATATACTTCAAGAGAATCATTTATGAGCAAAGAATACAAGAAATCACGTCAATTCCGAATATGGAGTTGTGGATCCCTCATTTTTTCTCTTCGAGATTTTTTTTTGTATGTTTGTGAATTGTGTGATGTATATTAAAAGGACAATTTAGTATGCTGTTACCCATACATAAAGTTTGTGATGCTGAAGTATTTGGGAACATAGTTGAAGGATTACCAAGTAGAGCATGCATATTTTACAACTTGAGTGTGATAGTGACTAAGACCTATTTAGAATTTGAACTCTCTGATTTTGAATTCGAAATACCATCATATATTCATTCGATTCAAAATTTATTACTTAACAAATTTAAGCCAAAATTACTAAGTTTGGATGAACCTACAACATTACACTAAATTCGTTCTTGAATGGTAAATGATATGCCATTCAAATTCAAGAGAAATGGTTATATCAATGGAAGTTAATTAAGTTATATACATCGATAATTATTAAAAGTTTGTATTAAATAGAATTGTGTAACTAGTTGTGACAAGGTAATTTATCTTACTTTCATGTTATCAAAGTTATTCTTTCAAATTCTATATAATAATGAGTTTATTATACGTGTCGAGTATCATTAGAAATTATTTGGAATGACAAAAAGCTAAGTAATAAAGAAGGGAAAAAAAAAGAAGAAAGGAAATTCCCATTTGATAATGAGACAGACAAATAAACAGACATGACACACCACCAAGTCAAACTTGGATCATAATATAGAGTTTTGTCTAATCTTAATTAGTAGCTCTATTATAACATCATTATTAACTAAAACACATATATATAAGCTTAAATATATAAAATGAACTTCTGTATGTTTAATTTCCTTGTTCAAATCCTATGAAAATCAAAGACATTGATATATAGTTAATCTCTCTCTTTGTTTATTTGGCAAAAGGAAACTCTTTTTCAACAAAAGAGTAAAAACTAGTATACTTAAACTTACAAAGAGAGGAAAAATTACATTACATATTATATTACATTACCCCATTTATTTGTGATATACTATACTTATAAGATTATATGTTATGATCTTTCTACTTAATTAAATTAAACATTAGGATTATTAGACAAGTAATGATAATGATTATTAGGATGTTGCAATGCAATATGGCTCCCAAATGAGTAGAGACTTCCTCTTCTCTTTGCATCCTTTCAACATAGGCACCAAATAATTGATGTTTCCTCTCATTAATACCAAATCTTGCTGCTCTGTTGTACTTTTGGCAATGGGAGTAGTACTGTTGACAATGGTTGTCACAGTGGGATTGGGATTTTTCTTCCAGAAATAGTTATAGGCATTGAATGGAGATGCTTCAGGTGTGATTAGATGAGGAGGGATTTGTGGGATAATTTCATCTTCATGTTCAATCAATTTAATTGAGTTGTTCATCTTGTTAGGCCATTTATTATTGCCTACTCCCATGAGTTGTTTCATCATCAATGTTGATGTGTTCACATTCATTCTCCCATTTGACAATCTTGATTTTTGCTCAAGCACAATTTGCATCCCTTTTGTATCATTTCCTTTTTCCTCATCATCATTAGTTTCGTCGTGTTCGACTTGTTGAATTTCGTCAAACACTTGTTGATGTACAATATCCTCTGCTTCAATTTCTGATGAAGTGGTGATTAAGGTGAGAAGAAGGCGACCATCAACGCGTTCAGCGCGGAAATGATTCTGAGGAGGAACAGAGACAGCTTCAAGAATCAATCTACCATTCTGCCTGTGAGATTGCATATGAACAGAGGGCTTGTCCTCTGCAGCCAAGGAAGAAATAGTTGGAGGGAATGATTTTGGAAGAGGAGGAGATGATGTTTTTTTGTTATGGTTAAACTTAACAACAGGAAATTCCTCAAATGTTTGAGGGGACAATTCTTCTTTTTCTTCTTCTTCTTCTTGTTTTTGGAGATGATCATCAAGGCTAATAATTTCAGAACCAGTTTCTGATCCAAGACTTTCAGTACAAATTTCAAGACTTTTTTCAGTTAAAGAGCTAGTTGATTTTTTCAAAAGAGGATGAATATAAGGAGGTGGAAGTGTAGATGAATCTTCTTTCTTTTGAGTTAAAATTGAACTCCAAACATCATTTGATGTTTTGTTACCACCATTTTGAATTGATCTCCAAATCTCATCTTGTCCAAGAACATCAAGTTCTTTTGAGGAAGCAATTTTCTTCATAGGAGAGAAACCATTTTGTGATAGCCATTTCTTTGATGACATATCAGCTGAAAGGGTTCTCCTAATTGAAGCAGCTACACCTTTGTTTCCTTTTTCAGTGTCTGTTCCAAGAATAGACACTATCCCTTGTTTCACTATCCCCATCTTAGTTGGGGGTAGTGGGATATCGATACTAAGTTTTTGTGCCTCTTTTGCCATCTTGAAGTTCATGATGCTCATAATTTGAGGATTATAACAAATAGGAGTTGAGTCGAGTTGTTTGTTTTCCTTCTGGAAATGAAAAGTTTAAGAGAAAAATTAGTATAAAGTTATGATATATGATTATATGAACAAAATTTCAAGTTGTAAAAAGATGTTGTAATAATAAATAAAAAGAAGTGTTAGTTATAATTACCTTAAGCAAACAACAACATTCAAATGAGGGATGATAGTTGAAAGCTAAGAGAGGGAATTAAATTGAATTGTGAAGTTTTTTTTTTTTTTTTTGAGGAGATATTGCTATTGAAATAAGATGTTTTGATGGCAATTACAAGGAATGGGGGTGTCAGGGTCTTTATAAGAGTCCAGAAAGGCTATGGAACCGTGTACAAGGGATCCGCCTCTAAACCCACCATGCAAAAATACTCTTCTTTTTTGCTTTTATCTGATGTCTGATACTCGCTTTGACACTCTAACTAATTCAAATTCATATTACATAGGCTTATCAAAAAGGAGACATGTGCGTCCTACCAATATTTCTTTAATTCAAATGATTTGAAGCTAAAATCTTTAATTAATGATGAAAGAATCATATTCATCCCACTGTATTTTTTGATGGTATGCATAAAGCTCATTTTTTCCTTCACCCACCTCTACTTTCACACTGTTAATTAATTAGTGGAGTAGTATTTTTTTTTGCTCCCACAATTTTTTTTTAAAAAATGAACATGTTAATTAATCATGCTCAACATGAGGTAAACCTGGTGCTCAGTCGCAATAGTTATATTTTGTTAATTACTTAATTAATAAAATTTTAGTTTTGATGCATATACATGAAAAATAAAGTTTCATCTTCATCTATCTAAATTAAAATTATGGAAAAGAAATTACTGTGCGGACAAATTAACTAGTTACGAATAATTGCGATCCATACTTGGGAAACTGGAGGATGAAAAACAATACATATATTTATTTTGTTATGTAGATAAGGGTACGTAGTGTCTCTTGTGAGCCTAATTAGGTGAAATACCAGAGTTGGAGGTGAATTCACCAAGACTTATATAGTATCTTTTTTTTTTAATTCTAAAGTTTTTAGTAACAAGTATTAAATTGTATGAATATATAATAGTTGGTGTCGCAAAATGATTAATTTTTTTTACTTTTGTTGTTTGAACTTTCTAAAAATGTTGCCACATTCATGTTGAATTCTTCGAAAATATAATGTAATGAAAGGATCCTACACATATCATCTGACGAGATATTTAAAGATTCTAAACAACGTAAGTTTACGCAATTCCATTTTCAGTACATGAGAAGTACTGAAGTAGAAATTTCCATGGTACATATTGATTTCTCCAGCAATGATTCTTCTGGTAAGTTACTAAGTTAAAAATGTACCATTGGAGAATGTTGTGAGAGCTACTTTTTTCACTTACTTTTTTACTACACTTCATAAAATATTTTACCAATTTAATTTATTCTCTTTCCTTCTGTATTTTATTTTTTCCGCTTTTTCGACAGTTGGTTTTCCACTTTTGCCTTTAAATGGCATATATTACCGTCATAATTTTCTATTTGCACCTGAGCAGTTTTACATCGAATTTTTTTTTTTTAGATTTACGAAAGAAGAAGAAGAAGAAGAAATATTAGTGATAATAATATAGTAGTTACGTACATTAAAAAGATATTAACGTGATGAACTCAATGTTAACTTTGATGATTAAATTCTTTATTTTAGTGGTAGTTACTAAAATATAGATTAAGTGATGATCCTAAAAGTTATGTACAAAGTTGAATATTACGTTATGTTCTTTGTAAATTCACTTTATTTTTAAATAAAAGTCGCGTTATAAGCTAATATAAATAGTATAGAGATTAATAATGCATGGAAAAAAGGGAAGGTTGGATCAGCAGAACATTTAGAGAAAGGAAAATATAGAAAAGTGTTTGTACAAATAAGGAAAAAGTGAGAAGAGATGGTGATTGGACGAGGAAAATGGCTTAAGGAGGAAGCAAAGGCATATCGCACGATCATTGGCCGCTACATAAAGCCCTATCATCACTTCATATAAAGTTGCTTCATCAAATTAGAATCACTCAACAACATAACAATCGCAGTCGGAGCTAGAATTTGAAGTTTATGAATTTAAAATTTCAATTTTTTTAAGTTACTGGATTCTAAATTAATAATTTGTACATATTTCATGAATTTTACTATAAATTCAAAGTTTGAATTAAAGTTGCTGAGTTAAGCCGAATTTGTAATCAACACATTGGCGGCTCTACCTCAATTAACAACGGCAACCTACCAAATATAGCTCCATGAGTGAAATCTGAGGAGGATGTAACATACACATATTTATCTCTAACTTATAAAGATAAAAAGATTGCTTCCAAAAAGTCCTACAACTCAAGTAACACGTATCATATATTAGCATCACTTGTCACCTTATAATTAATAGTGTTATTCCCTCCGTTCCATTTTATGTGGTACTTTTTGGATTTCGAGATTCAAACAAGTATATCTTTGATCATAAGTTTTTCATAAATCTTTTAAAAATTTTGAATTATCAATTATTATGACTTATAAGTAGTACTTTTTACATAGATTACAAAAATACAAATTTCATTAAAAAAAATTGAAGATTCTATCCGCAAATTTCTGATCAAACTTAAATTGTTTAACTCTCGAAAAATGAAAAGTGCCACATAAATTGGGACAGAAAGCATTAGTCAATACTACCTACAATGCATATGTATATAATTAACTAGGAATTATTTGAATAACAAATTGAATCACCCATAACAATAATAATGAATATAAGAAAATATGATACTCCTTATTTTCCAGTTATTTATTTAGACACGAATTTAAAGATATAATTACTATTTTAAAACTGTAATTTTACATATATTATAATATTGTGTAAATATATTTCTTTCAAAATACAGAGATCAAATAAATAAAAAGCCACAAAGAATGACGATCAAAGCGTAAGACTTGTTAAATGCAAGAGTATAGGAACAATTCTTATATACAGAGTATTGTTACTGGTGAACAATTTATTAAAACTATACCCCTCCAGAGTATTAAGGGAATAATGCATGCATATATATATATTATATATGAATCGCGCATCGTCTGGATACTAATACTGATTACTATACTATACAGAATACATGTCTCTATCATATTTTTTTTTACGAGACTGATCTTGTCGTATCTTTTCATCTGTCTCAGTCTTTCATTTTTTCACCTAATTCTTTACTGATGTATACATACACGTACAAAAATTGACATATTTAGCTATATATATGTAGCCTGTTAATTTCATGCCAAAAGCTGGTGATGTTGATTTAATTGGATCGAATCTTATCTATATTACTAGTGGATGCACCCATAACTTTCAGCTCACATAAACGTGTGTGAAACAAAATTAAACACGTCACACACATATATTATATATCGTATATACTCTATATTAATTGATTTTAAGAGTATATATACAATGTATATAATGTAGCGTCAGCTACGAGATCAACTTCAACTAATAAAAAATGCGTTAGAATCTGACTTTCAGGAGGTATTTTCTACGATCGATTGAGTAAATGATATTAATAATTACATATCCTAGCTAAATGCAGGCACAACATATTTTCAGAGAAGTCAATATAGTAGGATCCTTAAGAAAGTAGATGTCATTATGTTAGATTCTTCGTTTCAATAGATATCTCTTTTCGTAAACAATCGATTGATACTTTTTAAAAATATGAATATAATTGAGTTGATATTAAGATCAAAATTTTGAGCATAGACTAGTAGTACATCATAGTTAGCGACAATTTTAATTTCGATTCAATTACAGAAAAACTAGGAACAAAGGGCTTTAATTTTATTCCATTTCACCTGACTCTTCAATATGATCTTAAGAACGCTCCAAAATTATTATATTCAAGACTATTGTTTACCTTTTATCCAATAATTTTGGAAAGTAATAATTAAGCTAATTAAAATCATGGATAATTGATAATGACTAATTGTATATATAATTAATAAAAGAGAAAAGGAAGAATAGAATAAAATGGGATCACCTAGTATTCAAGAATTCCGGCATGAATTACTATAAATAGAAAATTCATGGGTGGTGGAATTCCAAGGAACATCTCTTCCTATGATATAATTACTACAATAAACATATTTAGTACGATTTCAAAATCAGGATTTGGAAAGTATAAAATATATATCGATCTTATTTTTATCTTTATGGTATATAGATAAATTATTTGTGATAGGTCTTCAGTTCAAAAGAAGTGTAATAAAAGCATAATCAAAAAGAAAATAACGATAATAAAATAGAAAGATAAAAAATAATAATAAAACAACGTCGATTAATAGTAAAAGGGATTTGTGCTCTTTGTCTATATATATAGGTCAACTCACTAGATGATTGGTGAGTCGGTTCACGAGTGCCCATTAAAAATTGCTCAAAAGAATAATTAGATGTATATGCATTGGATTAGGGCTAAAAAAAAAAAAGAAGCATACTTTTTAATTGCTTTGAATGTAATTCTAACAATTAAATTGTGTATGGTGATAAATGAATGAACTTATTCCGAGTTGACTCATCTATAAAAAGTAGTAAAAGTTCAGTGAAGAGAGAATCAAGCATACCGTTTTTGTTGATTAACCTTGATTATTCTTAATCTTTTATTAATCATGCATGTATTTTTGTCATTATTTAGAATGTAAAGTGTTTGGATAGTACCAATTATATATAAGCACTTTCATTAGTGCATTGGCAATCCTTGTCTTATTTATAGCTAATAATGTTTGTAAGAAAGTCATGATATAGTTGACCCTGAGAAAGGGCTAGGTGATAAAATAAGATATATAATTTTCTATTATACCATATGTATTTTTTCTTATTTGGTGTCTGATATTTATATTGAGGCTCAATTAAATTTGAATTTGTGTCAAAAAGTCTCATGATAACAGGTAATTGAAGCACTTT